TCTTCCAGGATTTAACTGATAAAGTCAGATAGTAATATAATCCCCCAAGAAGAAAGGCCAAATACAGATATACCCTATTGTGTACAATGACATTGTGCAGTCTGTGTCAGCTGCATGGCAATGGTGACACAGCTGTCATGGCCTACCTATGCATGAACTTGGTCATAGCTGTTAATATTATCACCACTTTAATTTAATTATGTTTGTTGTTCGTTTTACCCATGTTGTATTTAACTGCCATTTCCAATATCTTCAAAATTACACTATGATTCAATTGGGGAAATACTAAGTCCCTGGGAATGCTAACAGGAACAAAGCAGAGAAGCAGGGTGGATGTTTGCTGTTAGCAGAGGCTTGCATTCATATTTTCTCAACAACAACAGAAGTCCCCAACAAATTCTTTATTAGACCTGCAAAAGGAAGATAACTTCTAGTGGATGCGGTTTTGTTATTACTCTATTGAAAAATACGGACATTGATGACTTTGAGCCAGAAAATGATTCAGATGAGTTGAACTGTGAATGTGGAGAAGCTATAAGGAATAGCTTAACCAATTTATTTTGCTATCCTTTCCTTTTTTTTTTTTTTTCCTGTATGCCCAAGAGGGGTAATGTTTTTTAAACTTACCTAAAATTGAGAACTCTTTCAACAACTTTGAAATAATAATTTTAAGTGACAAGAAGAAATGAATCATTATTTACCTGGTAGTTTTTCCATTCTGGTTGGTACATAAAATAAAAAGTGGAGACGCCTTCCCAAGGAAAGTGATAAACAGCCCTACTGAACTGAGTGGAGTAGACAAGTGACAAGAGAGTGTGTTTGGGAGTCAGAAACCCATGTGTAGAGATGATGCAGGTCAAGCACCTCACATTCATCATTGAGTCTCAGCCATCCTCACAAGGGCTTCACCAGGTGTCCTAGAGTCAGGTATCCTTCAGAACCAAGGCTAGAATAAGAATTCCTTCTCCAGACAAAAGGAGAGTGGATCCAGTGGTGCCAGCTGTGCAGGGACCTGAAGAGGATCCATTTAGACATGATGACATGCATTTACTGAGTCCCTGCCATGTGCTGCTCCTTTGCTGGGCACCTCATGGGTTATCTCTAACCTTTGCAACAATCCTGAAAGATTTCCACTGAGATGCAGGTACTGCCCTTTAGGAGACATTTTGCTGGAATGTATCAAAAGATATTTAAAAAGTTCCTGGCCTTTGATTTAGTAATTCATACACATGAAATTGTGAATTTTCATTACAACGTTACTTGTAATAGTGAAAATTTGGATGCAATTCACTGTTGTAACTCTAGGAATACGGTTCAATAAATTATGAGCCATCCATGTTGTTGAAATATTATGCAGTCTTACGAATCACAAAGATGTAGAACAATATGAGAAATGCTAATATAGCCAGTGGTAAACAATAAAATGTATGCAATAAACGTGTTACAAATACATATGTACATACATACAAAATATATACATATAAAATCTGTAATTACAAAGACATAAAAATATTTGCTAATATGAGCCAATATTGGAAGGGAATGACACAAAAATTAGTGTAGTTGTGTTAAGATAATGTGATCTTGGGTGGGTGTATTTTGTTTTCCAAAAATTTCTCATTATAATAAAAAGGGAAAGAAAAACAGATTTCCAAAGAACAAGTCAGTCGGTATAGTAACTGTTCAAGTATATTGAGAACAGAAATTCTTTTCAGAATTACTGAAATTATTACTAGAATTACTCATTAAATGTATTTGCAACATTGAGATGTTAAGGAGAATCTGGGTTTCTTTTTCTTCTCTCTCCCTCCCCCACCACTTGGAATTTGCAATTAGTTTATTTGCAGAGCAAAAAAAATGCAATGGATTCAGTATTTGAGACTTTTTAAGCAAAAGATGACAATGTAAAAGCTATTTGTCCAAACTTGCATTCATACAAAACATAGAGCTGCTATGGTTTCAGAATAAATATGTTTTAAACATTTTCTAAATACAGTGCTGTTTCAGCCCTAACAATACTTGGCTAAGAAACCACGTTTCTATGATAACCATAATTACTCTGTGGAAAATAATTGGGCTTAAGAAAATGCCTACCTAAAGGTGCAGGAGAACGGGTCCCACTTTGTTTCATCTTGCATCTGCAGTCACTTCTGCGTGGCTCTTTTTTTCCCTCTTGGAGGCTAACGTTGATGTTACTGGAAGACACAAGTGCATGGCATTAAAACCTACATATTCAAATTCTAGACAATACTTCTTTTCTCAAATAAGAACCAATGGTTAACTTCTACAAAGGGCTTTTGCTATTGGTATTTATTTTCACCTTTTTTTCACGCTTGTTTGAATGTCTTTTTCTGAATATGTTAACTCATTTTTTAGAAGTTAATTTCAGTTTTGAAATTCTAGTTAAAACTCAGGGTCACTGGTCAGTTGCATGATTAAATGAAGGAGCTAGATAAGTTGGTAAGATTTGGCCAGATATTATGGATTTGAGTTTTCCTTCCTCCTATGTGTTACGCTGCACTTCTGGACATGTTTATAAGTGGCCATTTTTCTGGAATTTTACACTCTTCCTGCTTCCTTTCATTACATTAGGCAAGGTTCCACTAGATGAGACATTTGCAGTCTTAAGACTTCCTGGCGGGGTTCAGACTTTGTATTTTTGACATTGAAGCTGTCGTGTTCTTGAAGCTACTTAATTAGAAACACATTCATGTCAGTGTATACTGGAAAAAGCTTGGACAGCAGAGCCAGGCACACTGGGAAGTTTGAGCATTTATGTAGCTGGCAGCTAAACTAATGGTTTACAGTTTACGGGGGAAAAATCATAGGGCATTCCCTTGCCTGTAGAAGCGAATGGAAGTTGAATGTGCACAGCAGATACCTTTAAAAAAGGAAAAAAACGATGAAGAAGAAGAAAGAAAAGAAAGGACAACTCCACTTTCACTACAGTTGTGTGTATAGTTCTTTCTATGGCTATTATGAAATACAAAAGTCTGCTAGAAGAATAGTTCCAAACTGTGCTGCTAATACTCAAGTCTGTTTTACAGACTTCCCAGATACATCACTGCTGAGATCTGTAGTAAGGAAGACATTTTATATTCTAGGGAGGGATTTTTGCTTGAAGAATTTTATTTACTGAATGGTAATAGGGGAATTATGTCCTTTCTTAATTTTTAAGTGTTTGAGCAACTTTAAAATGTGAATCTGATGTTTAAAAACCTTCATTGTCTGTCCATTTCTTTCAGGATAAAGCCTCAATTCCTTGGTTTCCAATAGGAAGCACGCTGGTCCTGCCTCATTTTTTTTTTTTTTTTTAACCATTCCTTGTTTCCTCAACCCTGTCCCCAAAAGAGCCATCCTAGTCATTCCATTTCCACTCCCAAAGCTGCCCCAGAGGAAAGGTAGTTGGTCATTCTGGTCTGAGTCAGGTGCCTTTCTGTTAGGCTCTGTCCCTTCCACAGGATGTATCACATATTGGAGAGACATGTGGAAAATTTGCCAACCACTTCTTCCCTCCCTGCTCCTACACACACACACACACACACACAAAGAAAGAAAAAAGTTATATAGGAAGGAGGGCTGGGGATTTTAGTTTGGGATCATGAAGTCGTCACGGCATAGAAGGAATATGTATTCAAAGTCAAATCTCAGGTTTGCTGCTTACTTGGTTTGCCGTTGAGTCAGATCTGACTCATAGAGACCACTTCTTGGGTTTCCGAGCCGGTATCACTATGGAAGTAGATTGCCCATCCCTCCTTCCTTCTGATTAGCCTTCTGATTAGCAGTCAAATGTCTTAGGTACTACGCTACCAGAGCTCCTAGTTTGGCATTAGACAAGTAATTTGAGCACTCTAGACCTGTTTCCTCCTTTAAAGTAGGGATAATAATACCTACCTTACCACATTGTTGAGGAGCTCTGGTTGTGCAGTGGTTAAGCACTTGACTACTCACAAAAAAAGTCAGTGGTTTGAATCCACCAGCTGCTCTGTGAGAGAAAGGTGAGGCAGTCCACTTCTATAAAGATTTACAGCCTTGGAAACCCTATAGGGCTGTTCTACTCTGTCTTAGAGAGTTGCTATGAACCAGAATCAACTCAGTGGCAGTGGGTTTGGTTTTTGGGTTTTTGTCAGGTTGTCAAGTGGTTTAGAAAAGATGCATTTAAAGTTCCTTGTACAAAGCCTAGCACGTTTATCCTTGGTAGATAGCCCTGTAAACGATAATGTGTGAATGTGTGCATGTATGTGCATGCACACCCACCCACATACTCACACACACACACTTCTGAAACCAAAGGAAGAAACAGTCTATCCAAAATGCTCAACTTTTAAAAACTTTGGAGTTGGGTTCTCAATCACTGCTCAGGCACTAACTTAGAATCCCTTGCCCAGTGAATGAAGTGGTTGGAAGTCAGTTTATGAATTACACTGTCATTGGCTGGCATGTATACAGTTGGGGAGGAGATGCTTGTTGGCAGCTCTCCAAGTACTTTGTCCAATCAAAATGGACAGATCACATCTCTTGATGGCAGAAGGAAACAGCAAATAAAAAGTCATTTGTCTTTGAGACATGTTATACTCTCCATTTGAGCTTGTTGAATGCCTTTTTGTTATAATCATGGCAATAATAATTCTTATTTGTACCAGGAACTGTACTAGTCACTTGATGTGTATTTTCTCTTAATTCTAATAGCAACCTTCAAGTTAGGCTCCAATATTCCATTTTAGACATAAAGCAGCTGAGGTTGTACAGTCACATAGCTGCTAGAGGGTCCAGCCCCAAGGTTGGTGCTCTTCCTGCCACCACATGCTGCCCACATTTTGAAATTCTTCCGAGTTTCTAGGCTTGAAAACAAAATGTCATATTAGGATTTCTGTTGTGAAAGGAAATGTAACTGTGCATACGTTTATTAAAGCAGTTTTTCTCCAAATAGTGAACCATCTGTAATTTTCTGTTGGAAGCAACAGACATTAAAGCAGCTGTGTGTCTGTTTCTCTTCACAGTGCTCCCATGCCCTACCTCATAGGAATCCATTTAAGTTTAATGGAGGTAAGTTGGCTTCTTTTCTCCACAGATCTTTCTACTTGGGATTTTGTTTTGCTACACTGCAGTGTGAAAGACCAAAATCTGAAGTCGCTCTTCCCATGGGAGCATGGGAAAGCAAAACCTCATGTTCATTCCCCTCCTACATGCACAGAGCTAAGCAGTTCAACTCAGACCCTTTCCACTAGGCTCTTGTTTTCAGTGAGTTTCCACTTTACTTAGAGACTGTCGATTTTCATGGGTTAGGGAATAAGGGTGGAGGAAGGGTTGTTCAGGGTTTGAATGAGGTAAGGGAAATGATTCACTTTGTGAAATGATGTGTATGCTAAATCACTCTAAAATACTACTTTTTTAATTGTAGCAAATGTGATATAAAAAAGTATACAGAAATAAAAAGAAGAAACTAAAACTATCCACAATATTACATTTTCTGTTCTTCTTCCTAGTCTTTATTCTGATTATGTGGTTTTGTATAAATGTACATAACTGCTGTTACATATATGTCTATATAATACATTTTTATGTCTTTATTTCACTTAACATATGCCAGAGGGGTTTTTACATGTTTTTATCCATTCTTAGTAACAATTTTTAATTTGCTGTCTTTCATTCCAGTTTTTGGATATACCACAACTTAACCATTTTCCTCTTGTTGGACAATTAGCCATTTATAATTTGTCACTATTTTAAGTAGCATTGCGGTGAACATCTTTATGCTAAAGCTTTATCTGCATTTTTACTTATTTCCTTAGCATAGAACTCCTATGGAACCCTGGTGGTGTAGTGCCTAAGGCATTTGACTGCTAACCAGAAGGCTGGTGGTTCAAACCCACTAGTCACTCTTCGGAAGGAAGGTTGGGCAATTTACTTCCGCAGTGATACTGCCTCGGAAACCCAGGGAGGGGTTGTCACTATGAGTCAAATTGACTCGAGGGCAGTGAGTTTGTTGGTTGGTTGGTTTGTTTTGTAGAACTCCGGAAGTAGAAGTACTTAGTCAAAGCTATGGATCTGATACCAGATTGCCTCCTTCTTGACTGTACCAATTAGATAGCAATTCTTTTACAGGACTAATCTGTGCATTTTGTAAGTGCTATTAGTTCATATCAAGTTGTTCATGAACCCTAAGGCTTTCCCTCCTCAGGAAAAAGCTTAAATTTGTACTGGAGCAGAGTGGGGAGGAAGATGGGGAACTTGCCTGCTTTGCAGAGGAGATAGGCTCTCAGAGGGAAAATCTAAAACCATGCCTGTCTGTGATGATGCTTTGCATGTCTTAAAGGAAGTGCTACTTCTCTTCTTCTGTTCCCTTCATTTCACGTCGACGAGGACCACCTGCTTCTTCACTATCTGTTGCACACTGTGCTATTGTGCTTACAAAAATGAAACAAGTTGGTTATCGAAAAACCTGTTTGTTTGACATTGAGAATCTTGATCAAAATAGACCACAGAAATCTGCTCAAATTTCTAATTTGACAGGACGGCCATGTGGCTCCTACATTCTGTTAACAGTTCCTCCCTGTCATCACCCAGCCCTAAGCACATACAGTACACAGTTTATGGACTATCTTGGATGATGCATTTAGATCAGATTGAAGACATTTTCTTCTGTGTTTTACCTTTGTTTGTCAAGTTTGGGGTTGTATTCAAAGCTACTGTATAAGAAATTAAAAGTGAGTAAGTGCCAGTTATTGCAGGGTTTACTCTCTGTTGCCTTTCTTCCTACCTTCCAGACTGCTCCAGTTCAGGCTTCTTCAGATTCTCTGTGTGTGTGTGTGTGTGTCTGTATCTTTAGTATTCTCCAAGTTTCCAGCCTTGGCTTTCTTTTTTTCCTCTGTAGGCCCTCTAATCATCTTGTTTAAAGCTTTTGCTTCTGCTATTAAGTCACTGTCAATGACTCTAGACTGTGTTTCCTAACACTGGCCTGCCTCTCTGAACTTTAGGTCCAGATTTTCAAGTGCCAATTGAATTTCACTTAGATGTACTACAGATGTCCCAAACTCAGCTTTCCCAAACTATGCGTTACCTACATACACATGCGTGCACACACACGTGCACATACATACACACTCAGCCACTCTGCCTTCTATTTTCCTAGTGTCCCCAGTCCCTGTGAATGATGCCACTGCCGACAGAAGCACCAGAGTGGGACACGTGAAGCATGACCAAGTGTTCCCCTCCTTACTCTCTCTATAAATAGTCACCAAGTCTCGGAAATGTCTTTCATCATGTTCCTTCCCCACTGACTTCATAGATATTTCTCTTTGCTCTCTTGGATTCTTATAAAGCTTTATTCATTCATTTGATAAAGAAAACAAGGGCCTCTTATGTTCCAAGTGTTTTGGTAAGTTTAGGGGGTAAATAGAGGATTATGAAATTCAGTCCCTACATTTATTAGGGCGTCTTCTTACCTAATCACTCTACCTTTAGTAATCACTCTACCTAATCACGGCCCCTGAGTTCTGCAGTCTCTCCATGGCTATCAAGCCTCTACTCTATCCATGTCCCTTCCTAGCCAATGTTCTCCTGAGCCTAAAAATCCACATTCCCCCACCTCTGCATGGATAAGCCCTACCCTTAGCCTTCTCTTCCAAGAAGCCTCCTATTCGTGTTCTTCTTTCACTTACTGTACTGTGTGCTCTGGATGACAACTGTTTGCTTCCTTGTCCTTCTCCGTCATCCCTTGGAGCATGAGCTCTTTGGGAACAAAGACTATGCTTCATTCATAGTGTCCTTAGCACCTAGCAGGATGCCAGGCAAGTAGTATCATCTGAGTGAATGATATCTGAAAAAAAGGTTGAGTGATTATGTGGATGGCACTTGGGGTCCTTCTAATAGACAACCTTGTTTTCAGGAAACTCAGTGTTAAAATTTTACTTAAAGATGAGGGCCTTTTTTTTTTTTTTTTTTTTACTTCTTTCTGTATGATTTTAAGGAGCCCTAGTGGTGCAATCAGTTAAGCACTCGACTGTTAACTGAAAGCCTGGCAGTTGGAACACAACCAGCCGCCCTACAGGAGGAAGACCTAATAGTCTGCTTCCATAAAAATCACAGCCAAGGAAACCTTATAGCAGTTCTCCCATTGAATGGGGTCTCTATGAGTTGAAATTGGCTCGATGACACCTAACAACAACAACAATATGATTCTAAATAATTCAAGGTGTTTTGTAGTAAACATGCAACACAAAACATGCATGAATTTTGAAGCTAAAACTTGAGACAAATTTTGCCCATCTCGGCCTTTGCAGGGCCATACATGAGAAGGTTTGGGAAGCATTGGCTAAGACAGATCTTAGCCCTGTTGATTGACTGAGGTTGCAGAGAGATCTGCCATGCTGAACTCCTGTGTGGTGAGAGCTAAGAAGAACAAAAATAGTAGCCCATTCTTGGAGCTAGCAAAGACACTGTCTAAACAAAGAAGTGAATCCTGGGAGTTTGGGGCAACCATTAACTACCCAATCTTGGATCTCACGTCTTCTAATTTTCTCTCATGGATTTCAGCTCAGACTCAGAGTACCCTGGTCATGCTTTCTGATTCAGTCCACCTAATTCTGTTACACCTTTCAGGTAAGGACAGATTGCCCTTGCAATTTCCTTTAGGGCCTGTGAGCTAGCTATATGATACTTGAGGAGGAGCTCCTAGCTGAGGCCAGAGGAAAGCTCTTTAAGGAAGGAGCTCAGGAAAGCCCATCTCTTCTCTTGCACTAGTTTTCTTACTGGCAATTCAGCAAAAGGCTTATTTTTTACTGTCTTGTTATTTCTTCTTGAAAGCTATAGGCACCTTATTATGCCTTTGCATATGTGCCAGAATTTTTTAAACTTCAAATGAATGTGGCAGATGTTCATAAAAGTTTAGAAAAAGCTACCATAGGAAGACTTTTTAACCATTTTTATGACACTCAAATTTGTTACACAAAAGGAAATATAAATTATAGCCTAGTGTTCTCATTTGAAAGAAGGTTATTTTGGGGAAAGACCTAATTTCTAGTTTTCCTGTGCCTGCAGAACATTGTTGCTGTTTGTTAAGTGGTAACCTAGTCACCTTAAAGAAATCACTTTTTTCTCTAAAATGACAAGTTTATAGCTGATTGTAATTTTTTTTTTCTCTCCTTCTGCATTTTTAAATTCTTTTTCATATAAACAAACATTAATTTGAGGCTAGTAGTAAGTTAGCAGAATGGCCAAGGGTATTGGCATAGACCTAGTTTCTTCTTGGAGAGAATGATCATGTTAGCTGGCAGCTAGGAAATCCCAAAACATGGCCAGATTACACAGTGATTGTTGCTTTTATTCAAGTCATCTCAATTTAGTTCAGGAGATGTTTATGCAGCCTGTCTTCTATGCCATGTCTGGGAATAGGTGCCAGGTCAGGATGGTTTTTCTCCTATTTGATCAATGAAGACCTTCCTCTTCACAAACAAAGCTTTATGTCCAGACTTCAGAGTAACTGACACAGGGAATGTTTCCAGAAGATATTTTTATCATTCCTGGTGGCAGAATGGTCAGGAAGGAGAGAGGGGGAGGGCAGTGGCACAGTTCTGGAAAGGCTCAAATTATAAAACTGCACCTCTTCACAGAGGCAATGAAGCATAGAGGTTAGAATGTTGGCCCTGCATTCTGGCTCCCCTCCTTCCTACTATGTGATCTCAGGCAAGTTAGTTGACCTCTGAGCCTTCGTCTCCTCACCTGTAAAATGAAGGTAGTGGCTACATCCATATCTTCTTACAGGCTTGTTGGGAGGATCCAGTGAGATAGTGCACATCAAATGCTTAGCATCATGGCTCATAAAGAGCTCAACAAATGCCAACAATCATCGTGGAAATAATGACCACTTGCACTGTTAAATGGTTACATGTTTGATGACTTTGAAACTGTATTTCAGGAACCCTTACATCCCAAGAAGGCGCTCTGGTGACACAGTGGTTAAGGCATGTGGCTGCTAACCGAGAAAAGTTGATGGCTTGAACCCACCAGCCTCTCCACTGGAGAAAGATGGGGCAGTTCTGTCCTAT